AAAAAATAATTAAAATAAAATATTTAAATATTTTTTTTACCTTTATTGAATAATATAATTAACTTTTCCATTATTTGAATATTCATATATGATAACTGAAGAAACGCTTCAAGATCTTTGTTGGAAAATATATAAATGCAAACTGATTTATCATTTGAGTTCTTTGCTATTGCATTCTTCAAAGTAGTTTGCAAAAATCTATAAATTCAATTCTATTCGCGATATTTTTATATATAAATAACAGGCAAATTTATATTCATTTCACACAAAATCACGAATTACATTTGTTTATATCAAAACTTATTTGTTTTAATAATGAAAACATTATGTATGCACTTTGTTGAAATTATTTTTAGCACCTTACAAACGGTGAGATATGGGCGTAGACATCATTGGAGACTTAAAGCTACAAGCACATGTATGTATAAGTCTTAATGTAGACTTAATTTCCGCAGAGAATATGCATATATTATAAACAGTGGATAAAACTTTACATTTGTATCGTACCTCTTCTACAAGTTAATTTACATTATATTGTATATCAATTCATATAAATTTTTATTAAATTTTGTTATACATATATATATATATATATATTTTTATATTCATAGTTATATGCATATAGTTATTTTTCATTATTCTAATTTAATATATGTATGTCAAAAAACATATGTAATGCACTTACTCCTTTACTGACCGCAGTGTGTGGCCAGTATACAACTACTGGCCTAGATAGAGAAAATAGTGTTGTTTTTTTGCGTAAATGTCGGCCAGTAAAGGCCAGCAACTTGCCGATCTTTTCTATACTTGCAAGACACAAAAAAATTAAATCTATAATTGAAATTTTAAATCATTTATATACATATCATAGATATATGCTTATAGATGAGCTGTTGTTTGTTCACATTTATATGGCATATATTTCAACTTTTCAATAACTCTTATGGGAAATTTATTTTTAAAGATTGCATACAACATTTTTCGCCTAAAATGAGCTGATTTATTGATAATGAGCTCATTTATATGGAAGATTTTTGTATGGTAAATCATCCTCATTAGTGGTTACAATGAGCAAAATCGCCTAAATGAGGCAGTGAGAATGTGCTATTATCCTCATTGGTGTCCTTATTAAGCAGAACCGCCTAAAGGAGACAAGTGAAAACATAGTATTATATAGTAACACGTATGTAATTATTTATTACTGGATATAATTTAAACAAGTTTGTGTATATAAAATTAATTAACAATCTACTACCATAATTGTATAGTTTTATATTATCTTTATTGGTTTTGTTTTTTAAAATTTATATTGATATTACTATAATATTCCACGCTAATCTAAATAGGAATTTATTTTTATCTCGTATCTCTCTTATTGTGATCTTGTTGTTTTACTAGTTTGTGTTATACAAATGCACCAAATTATTATAAATTAGTAAGGATATTCAGGCATAGTTTGTTAACTAGTAAAATGATAAAAAATAATTCTTTTCTTTTTTTGCACTAAATGAAAAGAAGCCATTTACTTAAACCACTAATTTTTTGGAAATGATTTGAAGAAAAAAAACAAATAAGACCGTGACGGCGCATTGTACTGTGAAAAAGTAAATGCAATTCAAATATACATTTTTAATAATACAAACCCATGATGTGAAACAGGATTTATTTTGAACAATTACATTAGCTCTGTTCGACGAGCTACTCATAGTAAAATTCAAGTAAAACACAAGTAAAGTATAAAACGAGAGCTTAACATAAATTAAGTGCCAAATTACGCTCTCTACACAGATTTTCATGGATCAGCTTTGTGTAAAATCTGGTGAGAACACCAGTGCCGCGCAAATAAATAATACACAATTAAAATTCAAATCAAAACAGCTGATTCACACATCAACACAAATTTTTCGACAGGGTTGTTATGCTTTCTCTAATGATCTTATATACTTGAAATTTAGCTGGTGAAACGCGCATCGAGTGTCACTCAAAGTTACTACGA